TTTTATTAATTTCAAGTTAAATTGAAGCAATTTAAGTATTCGATAATCCGACTTTCCCAAGACAACATGTTTAATGAGGTACTCGTTGACAACTCGATATATGTATATATAGGACGACAATATGTACCTTCACAATTGGGCTGCATGAAATAGCCTACAAGATACGTCTGTGAAAATTAAACACCAGTTACATTCACAAAACTACAAAAACCGTTCACGGTGGCTCAGTCGGTAGAGCGCTCGCTTCGTGGTCAGGAGGTCGTGAGTACGAATCTCGGCCGCGAATGACCTAAGTCGATAAAAAATGGGTAGAAACTGTTCCTTCGCCATGCGCTCGGCACTTTGAAGTGAAAGTTGCGGGTCCTTCGGATGAGACCTTAAAAACCGAGGCCCCGTGTCACGGCAGGCGTTGGCACGATAAAGATCCCTCACTGCTCAATGGCCCTGAGTGCCGAGTAAAGGTCAAAATTTGAAGCCCTTCACCGGTATATGGTGACGTCTCTATATGAGTGAAAAATTCTCGAATGAGACGTAAATCAAACATACAATCAATCAAAACTACAAAAAAAATCCTTAAGCAACTCTAACTGGGGCGACAATATGTGCAGTAGGGGTAGGCACATAATGTCGCTGGCGACAATATATACATGTGTAACTTTTCAGCCGGCGACAATATGTACCGAAGGACGACATTATGTGATGTGCAGCAAGGGTAGGTACATATTGCCGCCGACGACAATGTGTACAAAACGACAATATGTTCCATCACAAGTCCTATCTTTCGACTAGCTGCCATAATTATTTTGTAATTACTGTATAATCAACTTTTGACCGCTTTTGTCAGTTTCTTACTTTCTCTGATTTGTAGCAAGTATATATTTAAATTGTGTTCCGTTTGCATACTAAAGAGAAACTAAATGCATAGTCAGTATCTTTTATACGAGGGTTGTTCGGAAAGTTCGTGGACTCCTGTCATATCTTTTTTTATTTAACGTCATATTACATCCAAATTTGGTAGAAATATTTTAACAATAAATTCATATGATTTGTATTTAAAAAAATTAAAATATCTTGATTTATTTTATTTTAAACTTATTAGGAGTTAAAAATTGTGAAAATTGGTTCGCGGAGCAAGTCAGAATTTAGTAATTTAGAAACAATACACTAATTAATGCCTGTAGGCACTGCCTCTGTAAAATGGCTCAAAATCAAAAAAAAAAAATCTAGACGATCAATTTAAGAATTGTTACATCGTTTCACATTCCAAATTATGAATTAAAAGTTTGCTTCATGGAAAAGAGATCAATTTCTGAAGATTGGTAGTCCTCAATGAAAAGGGCAAAAAAGTTGACGTCGTAGAAACGTCAAAATAAAATCTAAAAATGTTGTAGGAAGCATGAAATATCTCAAAATCCAGTCATCCTATGTGTTTGTGTGCAAATGGCCCAGGCGGTATTTGAATGATATGGACTTTGCATTAGACGAGGAAACGGGTTATCTGTAAAAATCTAACCAAAAACGTTCAGTTTGTATGGTCTTGGAAAGAGAAAGGCGCTTCACGGTTGCTGATCTTTTGAAAGCATAGTTAAGCGATTAAAAAAACCAAAAAAAGAAAACTGACAAACAAAATTATGCTACTGGAACAATTGTTAACAAAATGAATTTCAATTGATAGAGACATGTTTTAAATAGCAGATATTGGACCAGACTGTTTGAAATGTATAGGGAGAATACGCTATATTTTTGACGTTAAAATGTTGTAAAGTGTGCTCCAGGGTTATCAAACATGTTGATTTTAAAATGAAGTAAATTGATTTCTATGAAATCGAAGTGAATGAAACTTCACACATCAACAAAATAAATATTTTTACATATAATTATGTGCTTATTTTAAATTTCTTGAAAGTGGTATAACAAAGATTGACATTGTCCACGAACTTTTTCGAACAACCCTCGTAATTTGAATTGTAATATGGTGAAATAGATTTTTATTTATTTCAAGTTAAATAGCAGCAATTTTGGTATTCGATCATCCTAGTTTCCCACGAGAATATGGTTAATGAGGTACTCGTTGACAACTCGATATACCAGAATAAAATATAATTCAGATAATGACCGTTTCGAAATGCTGCTTTTTTGTTTTAGTTAAGATAATTTTATTGTTATTTCAATATTTATACCAAATATAGTGCATGCAATTCCAATGTAATAGACATAATAGGTGAAAGGTATAGTTAATTACAATAATAAGAAAAGCTGGTAAGAGTACTCGGAAAAAAATCTTGGTATAATGAGAACATTAAAATAAAAAGCCAGACTGGCCTAAAGATCAGGGGAAATATGCTCAGGGAAAAAATGAACATATTAGACATGTTCTAGCCTTAGCGTTTGATTTTGAAACTTACTTAAAAAATTGACAGTGAAGTATGTGCCAAACCGGTCCTAAATACATGTATATCCTTGATTTTCAAAGCAAAATAAATAAATAAAAAATAATGATAATAAATGTTTTTAGACTAACGTCGATTTTGATCTTTGAAAATTTGGTGCATATTAATCAATGTTTTCTCAAAGGTACTATAATTGTAAGAACCAGATTAAACAAGATAAAAATTGCTACCGACATGAATTTTACACAAAGAGCTGTTAAACCCTGATATGTACCAAGAAGCTGGACTAACGTTTAGTAATTACCCACTTCTGTATGAGTGAAGTCTGAGCCAAATTTGGTCAAGAGGAGAGAAAATTTTCCTGGGATAATGATTTTACATAGAGACAGAATTGAGACCTTTTACCATGAAACTTTTGTTATGGTCCCTCTGCACAACCACTATAGGGTACCAGCACCGTATCATACTGTCACATAACTTCGTCATACCAGAATTTTTGCCACGGGTGACAGAAAGCACTGAAGTGTAATGGCATCCGATGCAGAAAGCATAAAAAATATATGGTCATCAGAATTTTCGGGTCAGAGGACATAACATTTATTTTTTAATAATATTTTTAGAGAGCATAGGATTCGACTATGAGCAACTACTTATGGACAAAAAAATTACATATCACACTTGATATAAAGGATACTTTTGACAAAGTGTTTAATCGACATGAATTAAATGACTATATATTCCCCTTTATGATATACAACCATCTTAATTACTCCTACCCCGATAAAGTACTAGTATGCATGACATTTCTGAAATTTCTAATAATTTATTTAAATGGAGTTTAAAATGAAGGAATCTAATGTATACCATTTTAAACTAGACCACCTTCCTTTGTGAATAGTATTAGAGGAGCAGAAAGATAATATCTTTTCCGCATTGTGTGTATTTGATTTCTCATCATCATAATAAAATTTAATGTGAATTCACATAAGTCAAAGCTAATTTGAAACATTAATTGAGTAAACGAACTCTAAATTCCCTTCAATAATTTCAAATCTGCTGCGTAATTTGACATTTTGTTCAAAACAACAGAAGACTGAGTTGACAATCATGATTTTTTTCTCTATGGAAGACATGTGCCGCCAAAATCAGAAGTAGAACCACACCTCTTCAGCTAGGGCGAAGTAGGTAAGCACTGTGGTCGATACTGCACTGGTAACCAACACAACTCTGTCAGGACAGAGAAAACATGATTCCGCACAGATGTCCTCGAGACAAGTATTCACCTTTTGTAAGCATTCCAAGGTGTTCCTATAATGATTCAAAAACAAATGCCACAAGTATACACACGTATCCTACATACCTCCAAAGTTATGATATGGCAAATTCGTCCCATATTACTAATATGGAAGTCACATATAAAATACTCAGTTGCAATTAAAAAGTTGACACACATTAATTGGTGACATTTACACATTAAACCACACAAATTTCGTGTATTTAAGAAATTTGAAGAGCTATGAAATGGACACCATGCACCTGTCAAGAGGAAGCATGAAAGAACAAAGGGCACTTGGAGGAGGACAATTTAAACAGAAATGAAGAGAACAGGGTATAACTGGAACAACATCACCAGAATTGCAAATGACAGAAGCGTATGGAGAGTCCTTGTTACGGTCTTATGTGTAGAAATGCATAAAGAAGAAGATTATAAGTAAGGAACTTTTAAACAATTAATAATTATTTTTCTATGTAATGACAAGGTGAAGATAACGAACAGTGATCAATTTCATAAAAATCTATAATCAATTAAACACGGTTATTTTGCATGTTGACTATAATTATTATCTTGCATGTTGACACACTTTTCTCGCATGTTAATAATTTACCTTGCATGTAGGGGGCAGAAATATGTCATCATAATTAATTCCTTATCTGAAATATGTTCAATCAAGGACATAGGATACACAAAAACATTTGTTATAGAAATAAAACAGCTTATGCAGATTTTATTGACGCTAAAACGCATAATAACCACGAAATTTACTATCAACCCAGACTTACTTTTTCATTATCCCCAAATCTTTAATTTTATATCTACACTGAAACTCAATGCTAAAAAACATGAAAGAACAAGCTTCCCGCAAATAAATATAAATTTACTCTAGTTTTTCCAGAAACAAATTAATTTGGATATATAATTATACAATAAAATTTAGAAGCTATTTTTTAAAACCTAACTTTCCCAAAATTGTAGTGCACTATGACCTTAAAGTACTTAATTTATTTATCCGAAATCATCTTTCTTGGATGATTATTTGAGGAAAAAGGAAGATACATGTATAAATAAAAAAAATACACAAGATTGACTAGATGTAGAGACATTAAGAATGAACAATTCACTAAAACTGTATACTTAATGAATGCAGTGTCTCACCATATATTTTGTATTGCTGTATTTCGACATGAAAATAATCACTTAATTGTCTAATTGCGTAAAATTGGTTGCAAATGATTCATTTCGTGTTCAATGCGTAATTTTTGATCGTGTTTGAGGACCCATATGTATATAAGTGCAGTTTCCCCTTTAAATTTCATCTAATTAAAATTAAACCCCTGATACAACCATGCAAATCAGCAACGTTTTGTTAGTCTTAAGCTATGTCAAGTTTGTTTTTGGATGTGGATCATATGTAAGCCATGATCAGACCCCGTTCTGTAACGCAGTTTATGGTAGGTTTATGGAAGGTTTAATGCTATTTAAAAAAAAAAAACCTGTATATTTGAAATGACTGCATATAATTGAAATGAAAAGATTAAACAAAAAACAATATTCAAGATTATGTATTCATATGATTTTAAAGTATGTGGTAATAATTCAGTTTTATTTTCTTACAGCCGTCGTCGGTACGGTACAAAGTTCGTGGGAGTCGGATTTTGAGTCTTCGTTTCGGATACAAGTAGCAACAAATATTAAGGTAAGGGTTGGTCAGTACTGTGCCCCTTAATAGGATGTGATATTTTATTTAAAATTAATGTCATTCGAATGAAATTTGATAAAAACATACTATCAGACAGTAATTTAGTTTAAAATTTTGTAAATCATATTTATATTTCATTTGCAATATTTATTAAAACCAAAATAATCATATAGCAAATAAATATTTAATGAAAAATAATACTGATTATTAAACGATGAACTGTTTTGTTAAAAAAAAAAAAAAAAAAAAAAAAAAAAAAAACAAGAAAAAAAAACAATTTAAAAAAAAACTAAATACTAAAATATGATTTAAAAATTGTGTATCGTTGAAATGACGATTAAATTAAAGCAGGGTAAAATAAAAAGCTTCTTTTTCTCACCAAGCTATAAAGGTTAAACACTAAACATAATAAGGACAAATAGCCCACAAATTTTATGAAAACGTTCTTGAATGAAGAAATACCTGAGATGGGGGATACTAGTCATAGAAATTCATGAAATGATAAATATATTAAAAGTTTCTCATTAATTCTCTTATCAGAACTTAATTAATTTTAAATGCTTTGATTTCTAACATATAATAGTAAAATGATGGAATAGTATCTAATGTCTGTGATGTTATGTTTACACAAAAAACTTTGTAACTCTGTAAAGTAATATTCAAAATACTTTAAAATTCTTGAATTTTCTGATATAGAAATATAGCAAATAATTAAATAAAATAACATAAGGATAAACATAAACAAAAAATTTAAAAAAGAGAAAAAATAAGGAAAAAATAAAAAAAAAGACAAATTTAAAAAAAACACAAACACACCATGAAAAAGAACACAAAAAATAACAAAGAAAATCAAACAAATAAAAAACAATAAAATAAGCACAATTTTTTAAAAAAGTTTTTCTAGTGTACGCTTAGACACAATGCAATTCCATTAATATTTCTTGCATGTTTTTCTAAGGGCGCGGTACCCTCCAGAGGAGGGATAATCACAGTTTCCGGTACAGGGAGGATGCATTCGTGTGGCCCTACAAGATTGACTCGTAACAAAGCATACGTCCTATATCGCAAGTTCATTTATTTTGTACTTTGAAAACTAATACGGCAGTATATAAGGACCTCTAACATTAAGCTTGACTATCGAATCGTTAATTGTGAAAATGCCACTTATTATCAGTATTCGAACTTTTGGGATTTATAGTCTGAAGTTTGACCTCCTCTCTTCTGTTCAATGCAAAAATTGAAACCTGTCATATTCTTGATTCCTATATTTTTGAAAGCATTCATTGTAAGCATAAAGCTTATTTGATTTGAATATATAAATTCATACAGTTTCAGTTGACGATGATTCACCCTACAAGTTGAGAATCATCGAGAAAGAAGAGTACAGCTTCTCTACTTTGCAGAGGATATGGAATTACGACTGCTCTTGCAAGGTAAAATTGCGCCACATACACATTTTACACTTCTAGAAAAACATTTTCCCTTCCACATTTCTGGTAGAATTTTAAAATTGGTCTTCAGAACAATAATGTTGATATTTTCAGCAAAAAATCAATTTTCTACTTCAAAGACTTCGTTTTGGGTTTTGCAGTTAAAATTTTTGAGTAAATATACTTCCAGCTAGTTAAAATCTTTAAATTATTTCAGATTGAGATCAACCTTCCACAACAATCAGTCCCTAACAGTGGAATTCTCGCTAGAGACAAATGTGTGATCACAGAGCGAGAATTGGGTTGTACATTCCAGAACGGATACTGCACCAGGCGAAACTCACGTAATGTGTGTCAGTGGGTTCCAGGCGTGTCCAATTGCTGAATGGTGTAGAAGCTTTAAAACTTAAAACATAATTGTGGCATAACATATTCTTTCTTCGTTTTTAACGATTTTTTCTCAGACAAAATTTACTAGCCCTCAAATAGATTGCATTTTGGACTCCAGTATGTTACAAACTGACAGTTTTAATAAGAAAGAACAGATATCAAATTAAAAACAAGATGTGTTTGTGAAACACTGACGCCCCCGTATGGTAACTTATAGCAAAGTTAAACTTTCTCAAATGCAAATCAAATATGTTGGTACCCAAAGTAAGGTCTTGTCTCGAGGAATGAACCTGTGAAATATGAAAGGCCTATCAGCAACCATTGAATAGATATGGAAAAGGTTAAAGTTTTTTTTTTCAAAAGTATGTCAAACATCAAGGTCAAATGGTCAAAATTAATGGTGCCAAAGGAAAGGCCTTCTCCGAAGAAATACACGGGTGAAATATGAAAGCCGAAGCACCAATCGTTCAAAAGTTATGGCCAAGGTTAAAGTTTTCCAAAAGAAGATCAAACTCCAAGGTCAAAGGGTCAAGCTGTTGGTATCCAAAGAAAGGTCTTGTAACAAGGATTACATATGTGAAGTATGAAAGCCCTAGCACCAACCGTTCAAAAGTAATGGCCAAGGTTAAAGTTTGGTAAAATTTTGCAAAAATGGGTCAAACTCAAAGGTCAAAAGGTCATATATGGTGATACCCAAGGAAAGGTCTTGTCATAATGAACACTCATGTCAAATATTAAAGCCTTACCCTTGACAGCGCAATAGTTAGTTGACAACAGACAAACAGACAGACAGGACAAAAACAGTATACCCCCCCCCCCCGGATCTTTCGATCCGGAGGCATATTAAACTACTTTTCTTAATAAAGTTGCCAGAAGGTTCTACTAACAAATAAACTGCTTTATAACATTCCAATGAGATGGACATTAGAAAGTCATTTGACACTATATTTGCGAATGGAATATTAATAGAAACTAGTAGACTAATTGTTCTCGAACAATTAGAGGACTTTCCACCTTCTTTCAATTTCATATATTTTTCATATTTTACTCTCTAAAGTTAATTTTTATACAAAAAGAATCCATAAATGGCTTGAAAGATAGAAAAAATGAAAATTTTAAAAATTTTCAAATGACCTTGACCTTTGACCTTGAACAAATGTTAAAGGTCAAAGGTCAAGGGTCACATTGCACTTGACCCCATGCTTCTACGACTTTTAGTTTTAAAGTTATAAGGATTAATAATAAGCGCAAAGACGTTAAAGGGCGATAACTCATATAAGGGACCAACAGATCCTTTCGCACTGAATAGATTGAAGTTGTGTCTAAAGACCCTTAAGACATTAGTGAAGGTTTGGTGTCTGTACAGTTTACGGTTTCGAAGGAGTAGCGATAACAAGGTTTTTAGTGAAAGGGGCAATAACTTTTAAAGGGGTTAAACTTAGGGGACATGTATAAAATCTGTGAAATGGTTTTAAGGAGACATATCAAAGATGTAAAGATATATAGTATAGGTTGAAAGACAAAAGAGATATAAAAAGAGCTTAATTTCTCATATTTTGAATGACCTTGACCTTTGACCTTGACAAAAATTTTAAGGTCTGAGGTCAAAGAATCTAATGCAGTTGGTTCCATGTCTCTACGACTTATCGTTTTGAAAATTTTTCATTATACGTAAACTTCATAAACTTTCAGGGGCAATAACTCATTGAAGGGATCGACAAATCATTTCGCAATGAATAGATTGAAAGGTCTTCTCATGTAGTCCAGGACATTGATGAAGGTTCTGTATCTCTACGGTTTCCGGTTTCGAAGGATTAGCGATAACAAGCTGTTCTTGCGAAAGGGGCAATAACTTTGTAAGAGGTCATAGGTCAAACACGGGGGGTCGTTTTTCAGAATAACTTTTAATATCCAGTGTCATGAACTATAAAGTTTTTCGATAAGTCTTGTGGTTTCAAAAGTCCGGGAAGAAAAAGAAGAATAATAATAATAATAATAAACATAAGCATTTCAAGAGGTCTTTCCACAGAAAGGTGGAAAGACCTAATAATAGATTCATAAAAAGAATGTAGAACAACATTACTGACAACAGGCTTCTGAAGTACAACATAAAGTCTCTATCTTCACAATAAACAGCTCAGTTATTTTAAAAATGGAAGAAAGTTTGTGAAATCGGTAAAAATGAAGTTGCTGGATAATCGGTCCCCCTACCAATCGAGTATCGGTAATTCTATCGCCAAAACGTTTATTTGTACAGTGGAATCATCATTGCTCGATCGTTGGGATCGACGTTTTTGAGGGTAACCAAAGTTTGACTGTTTCGTGGGGACGTAATTTCGTGGATAACTTGCATTTTATATTTAATAAGATAAGTAAATTAACTGTTATAAATGTGTGTTTCAATTCTCGTGGGGACGTTAAGTCGTGGATAAGGGCTATCCACTAAATCCACGAACATAATATCCCCACGAATAATGATGATTCTACAGTGTACTTTATTCATGAATGACAATGACCAGCACTGAAATTAATCATACATTGTATAGTTCAAAATTTTGTTTCTACCACATGTATATACATGATTATTTCTTTCTCCTACAACTGACCTTTTACTTCTTTTAATGTCTGTCAATAATATACATTTATTGACAGGGTTCGAGGGCAAGAACCAATCGATTTGCGTGAGGCAGTTATTTCAAAAGCAAACATTTAGTTCGAGGGGTCAGCAAAACGCAGTTTGCCCGAGAAGACATTCAAAAACTCTTTTGTTAAAAAGTTGACTTTTTATTTTGAAATATATTGCGCTAGCTTCCATGTTTGCGATAGATGTAAATTTCGTGTACCCGCACTGTAGATTTAACTCGATCATTTCCATAATGAAAGCAAATAGTATACATATGTAGCTGCATACAGTGTGACGTAAAAAAAGGACAGCGGTCTAATATCTCATTCAGTACTAAAGCCCAGAAGGCTCATTCGAGTTTCGAAATACGAGATTCGAAAATCGAGATTCGCTATTTAAGATCCAAACGAACCAATCAAAAGGCGGATTCAATATTTGATTACTCCCTTTATTAAGTTTTTACTATCAAGAAATCACTGAATATATTTATAACAAATGGTTCATTTGCTGATATAATAATGCAAGAAAAAATGTTATATGTATAAGAACAAAATAAAAATGAAATTAGGGTAACGTTTTGAAATATATGTTTAAAATCTTATTTTCCTCATTAAAAAAAAAAAAATAGATACATATATAATATTATGTGGTCTTATCGTTGAATAGCGAAATTAGTTGGTCGATAAATTACTTAATAATTACATTGATGAGGGAGAAAAATTTTTATTGATATAAAATACTAAGGATCGTCTTTACACTGAACAGTTATTAATTTAAGGATACATTTCATTACATCTAAGGGTGCAGTTGTGCAGATAGACTGATTTACTATTTGATAGGAAATAGAATTAGTTCCAGTCTGTATTGTACATTATATAATTTTTTATTAATTCAAGTATTCAGAGCCTTGACCAAGAAAAGTAATTGAAAACTTAATTTTTATGTACATTGTATCTCTCCTATTGGAAAACAGTGGTGTATATTCCCTTCTGCTAATGTGTAGGCTAATGTGAAGTCAATGATTTCACCAAAAGCGCATCATTGCCGAATTGCGGATAGGCAAGGAGGGAGTCGCCTCCTCTCAATAGAAGGGGAGGGGGGGGGGTGGTCGGAGGACCACTTTCTGCGATCTTGGAGTGGAGACATCTACCATTGTCATTTTTCCAGTGAATATAATTATAAATCATTTAAACATATTTTTATGATACAGAAATTTAAATCTTCATGACCACTCTTAATAAAATTGAGAAATTTTAAAATCTTTACACAGTGCTTGGAAATTATGGAAACTTCTTTACTGAATAATCTAAATACAATTTTTAAAATATTTATGTTTGACTTCCTACTAAGCCAAACATTTTTCCTAATTTGTATTCCTTGTCCTCATCGTAGACTCCTGTTGCTGTCATTTTTAATAATCTGATATCTTCTTCAAGGTAACATTTCAATTTTAGATTTAACCAGCTATAAAAATCAAAAGTTTTGTATACTGTAAAAATTGGATAGGCATAAAATTGTGGATTGCTAAAAATACTTTAATTGCACTTGATGAAAATATATTCTAGTAACTGGTAAATAAATAAGATTTAATTATGATCAACTTTTCCCCATTTTTCAACCTAATACATGTATAAATAAATATTTTTACATCAAGAAAATGATGGTTAGGCTACAGCCTTTTTGCCTACATGGAATATGCATCATTTGGAAAGCGAACTTTATCACTACTACGATGCCTTTCAAGGTTTCCTGTGTACACTAAAAAGGCATACATGAACTAAGTAATTTTAAAACTTACTCCTTTAGGCCATACGATTTTTTCAAAGTCCTAAAGGTGTATAGAGGGTCCATTGTTTTGTTAAAATAATTAATTTTTTTTTATCATTATTAAATACTTATAACTTTTTTTTTCTCTATGACCATTGCATCATGTATTGAAACTTGTGTATTGATTGGTTATGTATCTTGCGAGACCGAGCAGTTTAAAAAATTCCTTATGAATAATTATCGAATATATAATTATTTTGCCCATGCATCGCAAGATTGACACTGATTGTTGATAACCGAACATTTGTCTACCGTTGTAATAAATAAACAACATAGCCATAGGACCCTAGGCACGTGCCCCCCCCCCCCATTCCCCTTATATTTTACCGATATGATATACAATAGAAAACATAGCAACTTTATGCTCGTGTCCTTTCAAAAATAACGTCTAATAACCGTGATACCCCTCTGTTGTTGTTTTTTTTTTTTGGGGGGGGGGGCTTTACATTACATTCTTATTATTTCCTACGGGCCTGAATAAAGAAAAATCATTATCTTTATCAAGCATGTATATTTCAGCCATCCGTACTTAAGGAGTTGTCTCTTGTTCTCACAAACTAGGTTACTGGTCACTTTCTAATACGTTGT